CTGACACACACACTCACTCACTCAAACACTCACACACATGCACACACACACACACTCACACACATGCACACACACACCGTACATGCTCACACACTGACACACTGTTTGCCCACTGTAATTAAATATGATGGTGTTGTACACCCACACACACACACACACTGACACACATACACACACACGCTCACTCACTCAAACACACACACACTCACAGACATGCACACACTCACTCACTCACACACACACACACACACACACACATGCACACACACACACTCACACACACACACACATACATTCTCCTTTCACATACATATATTTTTGCTTTCACACAATTACATTCTCCTTTCACATGCATACATTTCTACTCTCACACACTTACATTATCCTTTCACATGCATACATTTCTACTCTCACACACTTTCAGTCTCCTTACATCACATACACACACTCACACACTGACACACAAACACACATACACACACTCACTCACTCACTCAAACACACGCACACACACACACTCACTCACTCACTCAAACACACGCACACACACACACACGCACACACACACTCGCTCACATACACACACTCACACACTGACACACACACACACATACACACACTCACTCACTCACTCAAACACACGCACACACACACACACGCACACACACACTCTCTCTCAATCTCTGCTCCTCTGGTTTCCCAGGATCCCCTGCTCTCACATCTCGTCAGTTCAAGGAGTCTGACTTCCAGCAGGTGGTGGATTTCTTCGATCAGGGCATCAAGATCGCTCTGGACGTCAAGAAGAAGACCAGTGAGTACAGACTCAGAGATCTACTATTACCCTGTGTTTATTATATATCATGTTTTATATCAACAATATATATCATATTAAATATCAACAATATTGTTGTTATTGCATATCATGTGTTGTCATTTGATCACTGGCAGCTTTACAGTAACAAAATTTAAATTCTGAAGTTATTTTCCACATTAATACAGTTTTAGCCATACAGTAATAATAGCATGTTTCATAATTATTTAAAATATGAGAAATACTTCTGTATTGCTCAGGGTGATTCATTGTAAATATCAAGTAAATTAAATATTTGTTTAATTTCAGCAATTTTGAACTTTTTTATGTTGCCATCATAAAATTGAGTGATATTAATCAGCCGTCAATCAGTAATCAATATCATCATCTACCATCAAAAACAAAATATATATTATTATAATATAAACCAAATACGCTACAATTCAGAAGTCTGGGGTAGGTAAGGTTTATTTTGTTTTGTTTTTAAATAGAAATTAATACTTATATTCATCAAGGTTGCATTAAAGTGATGAAAAGTGACAGTAAAGACATTTATAATGTTACAAAAGATTTCTATTTCAAATAAATGCTGTTCTTTTGAACTTTCTTTTCATCTGTGAATCCTGAAAAATAAAATGTATCACCGTTTCCACAAAAACATTGAACTGTTTTCAACATTGATAATAATCAGAAATGTTTCTCGAGAAGCAAATCAGAATGATTTCTGAAGATCATGTGACAGCTTTGATCACAGCAATCAGTTACATTGTAACAGATATTCACAACTATTTTAAATCTAGTGCTGTCAAATGATTAATCGCATTCCAAAATAAAAGTTTTTGTTTACATAGTATATGTGTGTGTGCTGTGTATATTTATTATGTGTATATATACATACAGTCACATATATATACATATACATAATAAATATACACAGCACACACACACACACATATATTATGTTAACAAAAACTTTTATTTTGGATGCGATTAATCGCGAATAATCGTTTGACAGCACTATTTAAATCATAATAATATTTCACAGTTTTGACTGTTATTTTTGATGAAATAAATGCAGAACATTAGCCGCTTTAATGTCGTTCTGTCTCCTCATGCGTTCTCTCTTACCGTTTTTCTCTGTTTCTCTTCAGAAAAGCTGTCAGATTTCAAGAGTTTCCTGCTGGAGGACTCGGAGACGGCGTCTCGTATCGCTGATCTGCGTCGTCGCGTTGAAGCTTTCGCTCGTCCGTTCCCCATGCCTGGATTCCACGACCATTAAAGCAGCAGATCAACCATTAGACCTTGTCTTTTTTTGTTTAGCTTTACGATCAATCACTACATTATTAATCATTTACTGCAACTAAAAGTCTTAAAACGACGAGTAGTGCACTTACACCACCGGTCAAAACGATTTTTTATGTTTTTTACAGGAGTTTCTTCTGTTCATCAAGGCTGCATTCATTTGATCAAAAATACAGCGACACACACGAGGAAGAACCAAACCCGCCGGATGCTTTGTGACATTAGAAGTGATTTTTTCCCTTCTGCGGGTGATTTATTCCTCATGTGTGATCTTTATGACATTCAGGACTCGACTCACATCTTTATCTTCCATTTGGAGCGACGACCAAACGTTTCGAACAGACTAATGATGCTACATGTGTGAGTTCTTCTTCTCCTTTGATAATCGAAGCTGTGTCTTGTAAATGTACAGTAGTGTGTGTAAACACTGTAACTGTTGTAGGTCGTTGCTCATCTTGAGTGATTTCTGAGCGTTTACTAAAACGCAGTGATATCGATAAACACTTTGAGCCTCTTCTTCTTCACGTTGCACACGTCTGCAATCCTCCACCTTCATTCTGCTGGATTCTGCCTGACAAAACACCTCACAAAATGATTCTTTTTAAATGGACAGAGCTTTACAAATGATTTTCTAAAAACGTCTAATCCCAATAAAATGATGTTGTAGGAAAATGCAACTCATTTGGCTGCTCTTCTTTCTGTGTAAGTGCGCTGTGGGTGGAGATGATCGATCGCAGCAGTCGTTCTGGCCCGTCGTCTTCACAGGAATAATGTGTTATGAGTCTGAGGATTATTCAGGAGCATGCATTTAAAAATACATCTCGGCGTAATATGACAGACTGAAAGAGCCGCTGCTAATCAATGCATTAAAGTGAAAAAAGTCAAGCTAAAATCTGTGGAGAGTCTTTCCAGGTCAAATCAAAGCCTTAAATCACAAGAAACACTAAGTTATATTTTTATTAATGTAACCTATTTTTATTAACTGCATTTACTGATGTTTAAACCGATGTGTTATTTTAATGTTCAAAAAACATTTTACGTTTTTCAAGAAAATACTATTTCAGAGTTCTACTTCAAACTTTCATGTTTAATTCAATGTGTTACTTGCTGTTTTTTTGTATTTAATTGTGAAATTTACTAGCAATTTATTAGGGAAAATTATTTCTACACCATTTTTTTTTCAGTGCACTAAAAAAATATTGTAAAAACAATTTTCACTCAAAAATTGCTAGTAAATGTCACCATTAAATACATGATATTAGCTAAAAAATGAAATGGATTTGTAAAACACTCCAATATTCTTTGCTTTATATATATATATATATATATATTATATAAAAATTAAAAACAATTCTTATTCTCAGTATTTTAACCTAAAATTAAAACCATTACCTTGGCAACTACATTACCGGAAATAAAATATTATTTATTTATATTTCAATTGAGTAATTTTATTTTATTTTATTTTATTTCAAGCAATTACCATTTTTTAGTGGTATTTATTTTAGTTTTAGTTGACGATAATAATACTGATTTCACACAATCTCTAAGTAAACACTTTATACCCATTTTAACCCCTGATTAATTGCTGTGATGTGAATAAAAATAATTTATTCATGTAGAATATTTATACACCATGGCAAAAAGTCTTAATGACTCTAAAAGGGATCATTTTGATTTATTTTAGAATATAATGTCTTATTTTTTTGGTGGGCTGTGAGTTTTTCAGTGAGATGTCAGTGTTTTCTCTCTTTCTGTGTGCGTCAGAGTAAATCCCAGCGGACGCTGGAGCAGCTCGTGATGAGTGAATCCCGGTGTGTTTGTGTCGAGGGTTCAGGAGTCGCTCGCATCGTTTGCCCGTGTAGGTGTGTGTTTGTGTCGGGATCTCAGGAATGAGCTGACATGATTGGGAATCTCTCTCCTCCTCCTGCAGGCACAGACAGCCGTTAATTTGACAATAAATCAGCGGTGTTCAGCGAGGGATGGATTAACGACAATTAATTGCACTCGTTTATTTGGAGTGGCATGTCGGCGTTTGAACGCGTGTCATAATTAAAGCCCTGCAGGACTGTGATGTGGCGTTACAGAGTCGATGGCTTAAGTGGCGTTTTAGAGTCCCATTTAAACTCCAAACAATGGCTAATGTGCCGTAATTATCCCATAATAAAATGTAAGTGTCTCTTATAGAGAAAAAACAGTCCCACGGAGAGACGAGGAGGAGGAGGGTTGCGAGAGAGGAAGAAGCTTCACACATCAATTAAGAGCCTGACAGACCCTGAGGAGATTTGATGAAGAGCAGAACCTCTCTCTCTCACACACACACACACACACACACACACACACACACAGTCATTGAACAATATTACTGTTCTTACACAAATAGGAACCTTATTTTTATAGTATGGAAGCCTGTTTCTGCCATGGAATAAACAAACAAAAAAGGTATTTGCAACTTTCTATCTCACAATTCAGACTTTTTTCTCGCAATTCTGAGAAAAGTAAGAATTGCAAGATATAAACTCGGAATTGTGAGATTTGAACTTGTAATTGCGAGATATGGACTCGGAATTGTGAGGTATGAACGCAGGATTGCAGTATATGAACTCGGAATTCTGAGACATGAACTCGGAATTGTGAGGTATGAACTTGTATTTGTGAGACATGAACTCGGAATTGTGAGGTATGAACTTGTATTTGTGAGATATGAACTCGGAATTGTGAGATATGAACTCGTAATTGTGAGATAACATGAACTCGGAATTGTGAGATATGAAATTGTATTTGTGAGATATGAACTCGGAATTGTGAGATCTGAATTTGCATTTGTGAGACATGAACTCGGAATTGTGAGGTATGAACTTGTATTTGTGAGACATGAACTCGGAATTGTGAGGTATGAACTTGTATTTGTGAGACATGAACTCGGAATTGTGAGGTATGAACTTGTATTTGTGAGACATGAACTCAGAATTGTGAGGTATGAACTTGTATTTGTGAGAAATTAACCTCGGAATTGTGAGATATTGAACTTGTATTTGTGAGATATGAACTCAAAATTGTGAGATATGAACTCGGAATTGTGAGATATGAACTCGGAATTGTGAGACATGAACTCGGAATTGTGAGGTATGAAATTGTATTTGTGAGATATGAACTCAGAATTGTGAGGTATGAACTTGTATTTGTGAGAAATTAACCTCAGAATTGTGAGATATTGAACTTGTATTTGTGAGATATGAACTCAAAATTGTGAGATATGAACTCGGAATTGTGAGATATGAACTTGTAATTGTGAGATATGAACTCGGAATTGTGAGATATGAACTCGGAATTGTGAGGTATGAATGCAGGATTGCAGGATATGAACTCGGAATTGTGAGATATGAAATTGTATTTGTGAGATATGAACTCGGAATTGTGAGGTATGAACTTGTATTTGTGAGATATGAACTCGGAATTGTGAGATATGAAATTGTATTTGTGAGATATGAACTCGGAATTGTGAGATCTGAATTTGCATTTGTGAGACATGAACTCGGAATTGTGAGATATGAACTCGGAATTGTGAGACATGAACTCGGAATTGTGAGATATGAACTCGGAATTGTGAGACATGAACTCGGAATTGTGAGATATGAACTCGGAATTGTGAGACATGAACTCGGAATTGTGAGGTATGAACTTGTATTTGTGAGATATGAACTCGGAATTGTGAGACATGAACTCGGAATTGTGAGGTATGAACTTGTATTTGTGAGATATGAACTCGGAATTGTGAGATGTGAACTCGGAATTGTGAGACGTGAACTCGGAATTGTGAGGTATGAATGCAGGATATGAACTCGGAATTGTGAGATATGAAATTGTATTTGTGAGATATGAACTCGGAATTGTGAGACGTGAACTCGGAATTGTGAGGTATGAACTTGTATTTGTGAGATATGAACTCAAAATTGTGAGATATGAACTCGTAATTGTGAGATATGAAATTGTATTTGTGAGATATGAACTCGGAATTGTGAGGTATGAACTTGTATTTGTGAGATATGAACTCAAAATTGTGAGATATGAACTCGTAATTGTGAGATATGAACTCGGAATTGTGAGATATGAACTCGGAATTGTGAGATATGAACTCGGATTTGTGAGATATGAACTCAGAATTGTGAGGTATGAACTTGTATTTGTGAGAAATTAACCTCGGAATTGTGAGATATTGAACTTGTATTTGTGAGATATGAACTCAAACGGAATTGAGAGATACTAACTCAGAATTGTGAGATACTAACTCAGGATTCTGGGATATGAATTCAGAATTGCGGCAAATTAACTTGGAATTGCGAAATACGAACTCAGGTTTGCGTGATATGAATTCGGGATTGTGGAATTTGAACTCGAAATTGCGAGATATGAATTGAGGATTGTGGGATAAGAACTCAAAATTGTGAGATACGAACTCAGAATTGCGAGATATGAACTCAGGATTGCGGAATATGAATTCAGAATTGCGAGATACGAACTCTGGTTTGCAGATATGAATTAGGGATTGCAGGATATGATTTTCATTTCATGCGGATGGAGTGTGAACAGTTGATAATCAGTCTCTAAACACATACATTCAAATGTCAAACTTTAAAATGAGCTGCTGATGTATTTTGAATGTTTGATGGTTTCAGTTTGATACCTTCTGTGTGTCCGTGAGTTACAGGTGTGATTACACTGCTGCTTTATTTATAAGGTTTGCACTTAAAGGTGCACTAAGTGATTTTTGAAAAACGCGTTTGACCACAGTGTCGGACAGAGTCCCAAAACACACTTGTAGCCAATCAGCAGTCAGGGGGCGTGTCTTGTAATAATAGAGAGAAGAGAGCGCTCAATTTGAGCAAATCTGCATTGAGATATTAGCAGATCGACTATAGATAGAGAGAGATGGCAGATAAAAAAAAGAGGAAAATATCAGAGAAACAAAACATTAAAAAGAAGGGTTACGATCAGGTAAGAGGTAGGACCTGTGTAAATATCAGAGCACCTTTCCAGCAGTGGAGCGGAAAACTCAAGGAGCGGGAAGGCCTGGAATCGGACGCCGAGGTTGCATTATTTCTTATTGATAGGTGAGTAACTTTGATTTTGCTTTGTTTCACACAACTTATCCGTGTTGGCTTTTGTTTGAA